GCAGACACAAAAAAGTAATTATTTTAGAGGTGGGTGCTCATACACTCTAGTCCTTCTCCTGAATCCTATCAATCTCCCTCCCTCCCTCCCTCCCTCTCTCTCTCTCTCTCTCTCTCTCTCTCTCTCTCTCTCTCTCTCTCTTTGTATAAGTAAATGAAGGCTACTGAGACCTGCCTGTTACTATTCTTTGTTCTCAATATCTTTAATTGGCCTCTCTTTTCCCCAATTAATGTAGTAAACCAACCGTTTTATTTATGTGTAGATGTCTGTGAGTGTATGCCACCTGGGTTTTGTGCATGCTAGGCCAACACTCTACCAACTGAGCTACATCCCCAGTCTGACAATCAACCATTGAAAGGTAAGTTTTTGTCAACATGACACTGGCTAGAGACACCTGGGAAGAGGAAACCACCTGAGGAATTTCCTCCATCAGACTTCTGTGGCCATGTCTGTGGAGCATTCTCTTGATTGCTAATTGGTGTAGGAGGGTCCAGCCAACTGTGGGCAGTGCCATCCCTGAGCAGGTGGGCCTGGGGTGAATGAGAAAAGTAGCTGAGCAAGCCAGTAAGCAGTGTTCCTCCATGGTCTCTGCTTCAGCTCCTGCTTTGGCGTCCCTCAATGACAGACTGTCTTAGTTTGTTTCTTCACTGCTGTGACAAAATACTCTGACCAGTACCAACTTGGGGAGGAAAGGGTTTATTTGTCTTACATCTCCCAGGTCACAGTTCATCAGGGAGCCCAAGGTAGAAACTCAGGGCAGGAACCTGGAGGCAGGAGCTGGAGCACAGGTCATGGAGCAACGCTGCTTACAGGCTTGCTCCCTTGGCCCCTGCTCAGCCTGCTTTCTTATGCAACACAGGCCCACCTGCCCAGGGGTGGCACCACCCACAATGGGCTGGGCCCTCCCACATCACTCATCAAGAAGATGCCCTTCAGACATGGCCACAGGCCAGTCCAATAGAGGCAATTCCCCGATTGAGGCTCCCTCAACCCAGGTGTGTCAAGTTGGCACTAAAGCTATCCAGCACACAGACTAAAACCTCTGAGATAAACTTTCCTCCCCAAATTGTTTTAGGTCAGTGTTTTATCACAGCAGCAGAAAAGCAGTCTAGGACACTGTTTGTCTCTTTGGTCCTAGTAGGCAAGGCTAGAATGCACAGAGTGGTCACACTGGAAGAGAAGCCATTGAACCAGCAGCCACAGCACCTGCTTCCAGGGGTAGGGAGGGGGTAGGGGTGGACTTGCTCCAGAGAAGTCAGCCCCCTGAGTGGAGCTGGAGACGTATAGAAAGTGGAACAGGTTACAGTACATAGTCAGAATGCAGAGGCCCTCTGGGGAAAGACCTCAGACTGCAGTTCTGTTCAGAGCTGTTGCATAGGCTGTACTCTGCAGCCAATGTGTCCTGGAGGGCCCACTCTCAGCTAATGTTTGGGGTGCTCTCTGCCTTCCAAGTAGGGCTAGATGCCTCCCATTGATCTGTACCCAGTCATCTCAAGTCAGTCTTTGTACAAACCATGATGACCTAGAATGGGCCACCTCACTTCCCAGGGTCCAGGGAGGTCTCATTCTGGTTTCTGCTAGTCCTCATCTCTGGTTAAGAGAGGGTAGTACCACCGTTCCCAGCATTACCACACATCAAAATGAACATCTACTTGATTTTTGGATTCTTTTTCTGCTTTTATTTATTTTTTAAAGTGTTGATATTATTGTGTATGACTGTGCATGCATGTGTGCCATAGCATGTGTGTGAAGGCCAGAGGACAGCTTTTTCAAAAAATTTATTAGTTTTATGTGTATGAGTATTATGCCTGCATGTATGTAGGTGCACCTGTGTTGTGCAATTCCCATGGAAGTCAGAAGAGGGTATTAGATCCCCTGGAACTGGAGTTACAGCCAGGTTAGCCACCATATGGTTACTGGGACTTGAACCCCAGTCCTCTGCAAGAGCAGCCAGTGCTCTTAACCACTGAGCCATCTCTCCAGCCCCCAGAGGACAGCTTTGTGGAGCCAGTTTGACCTTTACATGGTTCCAGGGGTTGAACTCAGGTTGTCAGGCTTGTACCATAGTGCTTTTACCCACATGCCATCTTGCCAGCTGTAATTTTTTTTTTTTTTCGTAGAGAGGGTCTCATGTTATCCCAAGTGGCCAAGAGCTTTAGATCCTCTTGCCTCTACCTCCCCAGTGCTGAGATTACAGGAATGTGCCATGTCAGGTCCTAAATTTTGTCTTTGAATCGTAAGATCATCACAGATTAAATACTTTACAATTTTTTCACTTGACAGTATATCATGAATATGCATGTGTATATAAATGTGTGCATATACTTATATATATATATGTATATAATCTGCTTTTTAAGTCATTTCCCCATGGAGAACTGTTTCCAATGTTTCTCTAATGTTAAAGATACAGTGAACATAGCTGAATGTCCAGTGAACCATACTGTGTGTGCGTGTGTGTGTGTGTGTGTGTCTATATGCACACCTATCTGAATATTTTTTGCATGCGTGTATATGTATGTGGGCACATATGTGTGCCCATACATGTCAAGGCCAGAGATTGATGTTAGGTGGCTTCCTCAGTCATTCTCTTTATTTACTTGGGCAGGAACACTTGCTGAACGTGATGCTTTCAGATTAGGCTGGCCTAGCTAGCCGGCTTG